CCCATAGCTGATGATCACAGCTATAGTGTGAAAGGTGACACAGGTATAATAAGTCTGAACTCTTAATAATAAAAGTAATATTTCTTATTTTTAAGTGGTATAATATTTTGAATGTTCGAAAATTAACAGTGCCATGTCTTCTACTTACATTAGTCTCAAAGATTGAGGGAAGAAGGGATGAGGAGACTGAGAGAAGGGAAAGTGAGGGTGAAGAAAGAGGACCAAGACTGGTTCCTCCCTCATGCAGCTCCCCAACGCAGTGGGTGTCTTGGAGAAAGAAGCTCAGGCACTCTCCAGCAGGCTTCCGTCATGCTGTGGAGTACAAGACAAAATCATTAGAATACGGCTGAGGTGGAGAATCGAGCCACAACAAATCCAAAATGACAGGAAAAAAAACCCCTTAAAAGATGGCCATCTTGGAAGCAAGAGCCAATCCAAAAAGGTGAAGAGGAACAACAGCAGCCAAGCTTCAACATCCAGCAACCCCCAAAATAATCCACAGCTCCTATCAAACACATTAGTCGTTGCAATGGAAATATTTGGACTAACCATTGCCCCTCCACCTGCCAGCACCCAACCAACATCACTGCCCCTCCACCTGTAACATCACTGCCCCTCCACCTGTAACATCACTGCCCCTCCACCTATAACATCACTGCCCCTCCACCTGCCAGCACCCAGCCAACATCCCTGCTCCTCCACCTGTAACATCCCTGCTCCTCCACCTGTAACATCCCTGCTCCTCCACCTGTAACATCCCTGCTCCTCCACCTGCCAGCACCCAGCCAACATCCCTGCTCCTCCACCTGTAACATCACTGCTCCTCCACCTGTAACATCCCTGCCCCTCCACCTGCCATACAGTAGGTTACTAATATACACTAACAAGATGTTATATTTAACTAATATTATATTCCTCCACCCCACAAAAAAATCACGTTTAGAAGCCCGTTTTCTCTAATTCCACAACGTTGGATGTTGGATGAAATAACATTAGGAGAACGGATTAATAGCTGTTCATGGTTCACGTGTGTTGCTAACTTTATCCGGTATCCTAGCCTAATCTGTTATCTGTAAACGTTCCCTAAATCAGTAGATTATGGGATAATCCACTAACATCCTTTAATACACATGTTCATTTGACTCAGATGTGCTGATAATATCCGCAATATAAATCTTTAAACGTCTTCTTACCTTTAAAAGTCCATCACGAACGCTGCAACTCTACTGCGCTGCTAGCCGCAGATCCCCCGGAAGTCAGCGGCAAGCTAACTTCCGGGGAACTATTGAGGGCTCCACGATCCGCCATTGCTGTAAAAAAACTGGTCCATTGGAGTGAACGGAGATGTCGTAACTCTTCTATTATATGGCTCTGGTTTGACCATATATCTAACAAGTGAAATCAAAGAGCCAACTAGTGTGCAGCTGCCGTCTGATATCAAGGATATGGAATAAATACTCAAATGGCTTGCCATAATCCGCTGCAAACGACACCCTCCCACCCAAAAGAGTGCCGAGTCACATACGTCCTCCAACCTCCATTCACATGTCTCCACTGCCTTTTGTCTCTCAGCTGTGAGTCTCCGCCCGCTGATTAACACACCTGTTCCCAGTTCAGTTAATCAGTGCCCATGCAGGCGCGTTCACATCACAATATAAAGGCAGCAGGTGAGTGAGGAAAATAAAATGATTTTTCTCTGCCTTTGGTGACACACAGAGCTTGGAGACTTTTTTGGAGACCCACCTTTTCAGGACTCTGTATGCAGTCCATAGTATCACTATCAGGGAGCGCAACCACAGAAGTCAGACGCGAGCCACACAGCTGCCAAATAGTATCCCGGTGCACCTTATTGAGGTGCACTTCGACAAACAAAAGGTGAGGAAACTTTACCAAGTTATAATATTTGAGCAACGAAAGCAAGCGTTAATTAAAGCAGCTTTTTTAAGTGGCTGTCAATTCGTTTTTATTTCTTGTATGCCAATATAATATGGGCTACAGTAGTTATGATGGCCGCCCGGGTACCCCTTCTCCCCTCCAACCCAAAAGGGTTTCATTCCAAGCTTGATGCATAGCTTGGAATGAAACCAACAAAATAGCTTCCATGGTGGTTCGATGGCTTGATCCTGATGGCTTGACTAGCAAACAAAAATAAGAGCTGAGTCCTTCAGGATTAAAGGTAACAATGTCAGACAAGTGGTCTTCAGAACATCATCTACTATGATAACACTCTCAATACTGTATACATGTATTGAAATTATGACATTTCAATACCAGATGGGGATCTGCACTACATATGCAGGAGAAAAATAAATAGGGCTGAGCACCTTGCAAAAGTCGTGGTGTCAGCAGAAGAAGCCAACAAGCTCTTTGAGGAGTTCCTCAGAGTGGTGGACACTTTGGAAGGGAAAAGACTCACGAGGCCATAATTAAAAGATGGTATTGGCCTGGCATGGAGCAGGACATCCGTAAGTGGGTGAGTTAACAAATAATGAGGTAAATTACACATTATGGTACAAAAGTGCAACACAGAAAAGTTTATAGTGTGTTTTTTTGTTCAGATTCTTCAGTGTCCCCAGTGCCAATCAAAGAGGGCCACTATCAAAGAGAAGACTGAGTACAGTCCTATAGAGGTACAAGGAAACATTTGAAGACAGTTTCAGCTTTTAAACATGTCAACAGTGATGTACTGCAATGCTCATGTGTTTTTTTTCCCTCTCAGGTAACAGAGCCTCTGGAGCTTGTTGGAATGGACCTAGTGGGTAAACTCACAGTAACAGATGGTGGCAATCAGTACATTTGTGTCATGGTAGATTATTTCACCAAATGGGCAGAGGCATACCCACTTAAAAGCAAAACAGCAGATGAGGTCAGCAAATTGTATGATTGATTTCTTTTACAAATTTGGTGCACCTAAAAGACTGCTAACAGATCAAGGCGGGGAATTTTGCAATAAGGTACCACTTTGAAGCATTATGACTCCCCATTATGTAACTGTGCTGTGCTAACTTAGGTTCACTTCAAGGTCAACTATAGCCTTTGTGAGAGGCTGGGCATTAAAAGAAGCATGTGCACGCCTTACCATCCACAGACTAATGGGCTTGTGGAAAAACAATACAACAATACAAAGGTATATTTGTTCATAGAATAACAAACATTACTGTTCCTATATTAACTAATCAGAATTGATACCTAAAAAAACAACAAGAGTAAATAAATCAGCTGCTTCATCATATATTAGAAACCAATTTCTGTTCTACTTTCTTGTGTTTGTACTTTACCTGAATTTAGGTCCCTGAACAAACTGGTGGCGGGTGAGCCAAAACGGTGGGACCAACTCCTTCAAGGGACAATGCTTGTTCTTCGAACAAAGACGCAGTTGACCACAAAGTTCAGTCCCTATTATCTGATGTTTGGGAGGGAGGTGAGGTGCCCAAGGAGTACGAAGTAAGATCTGCTAATGTTCTCCTTTTGAATTTTTTTTTATTTCAAACATCTATGTTTTCTCTACATTCTAATGGATTTCTGTGGCAGATAACAGAAGACAAAGTCTGCAGCTTGGTGGAAAGGGAGGATATCTTCGAGGGACTCAAATCACAGGAGGCAGTTTTCACCGAGGTGAAAACCAACATAAAAAAAAGCCAAGATAAGGTCCGCAAGAGGAAACTAGACCACTAGGGTAAGAAGTTGTATTAATTTCCTGACCAACATTTGGCTGGAAGGCTGGGATACACCCTGGATTGATTACCTCAACATCACCGGGTGAACACTCACTGTAACAGATATTGAAAATGTTGACTTTAATTCACCAAGCTTGCATGTCTTTGCACTATGGGAGGACACTGGAGCAGTTGAAGAAACCTCTGAACACAGACTCTAAACAGAAAGGATAACAGCTAAGATCCCAACCTATACATTGCTTGTTTAATTAAATGTAAACAACTTGATTACTGCTTACTCTGGATGAGGGATGTTAACCTAAAGAAAAATGTTTGTCAATATTCTAACATGTGTTTTTTATGTTTCTTTTAAGATTGAGTGCACTGGGTGCACTATGTGGTACCACATGAAATGTGTTCGGGAGCCCTCTGTGAATGAGGATTATTTTTGCAAAGCCTGCACATTTTAGACACACACACACACAGTTTTTTATTTCTGTTGGGAAAATACTCAATATACTCTTCCAATATGAGAGTACACATGATGACAAAGGCCCGACTGTAGCTGTGTACATGACAGGATGTATGATTACCTAGAAGAGCATCAGGACTGTTTTAGGCATGATAGCTATGTGATTAACATGATGATTTTATGGAGATAGACATATGACAAGCATGATCATTTCTGACGTGGGTTTTAGCTAATCTAAACAAATGCTGGAGCTGGTATTAGGGATGGGAACGGAAGATGTGTAAGCTTTCTGCTGTCCTGATGTCAATGGGGAGCTCATTCCACCATTTTGGAGCCAGGATAGCAAACCGACGCATTTTCTCTAATGTCTTCACATTAGAGAGATGAGAGACATGGTTCCAATTTGTACTTTATTTAGGTCGAATTAGATGATTATTATGTGTGTTTACGTTCTGGCCTGCCACGCCACTAGTCTCCTAAAGGGGTGTGGCAGTGGCGCAATCCGTGTGACACACAGAAAATGTAAATGCGTAGTCTCCTCTCTTAACACTGGCCCACATTCACGTCCAATCGTGCCACCTGTCTGCCAACAACTGCGTCATTGTGCTTTTCGGTATTGGTCGTATAAACAGTATTTAGCCTCTTTTTGTTTTTAATTATAACTGTCTTTCTGTTCAGATGACAAATGTGTGCGTCAGGTGACTTAAATCGTGATATGATGTTTGGTTATTAAAATAGCCTTTTTCTCTAGAGCAGTCCTCCCACATGTGATGATATGCCACTAGAATGTATTTATGTTACACTGTTTTTGCACAAGAATCAGCCAACTAGGCTTCATTTTTTATGATAGTTTCTTGACAACCTTTTTTTCCTTTTACAGCGCGAGTGCCTCTCAATCCACGTTGGTCAGGCTGGTGTGCAGATTGGCAATGCCTGCTGGGAGCTTTACTGCCTGGAACATGGGATCCAGCCGGACGGCAGGAAGCCTGGTGACCAGAACATCTCAGGAGGAGGAGGGGACGATTCCTCCAACACCTTCTTCATGGAGACTGGAGCTGGAAAGCACGTCCAGAGCAGTGTTTGTTGACCTGGAGCCCACTGTCATCGGTAAATTCTCATTAATTATAAATGATAAAAGTATCATAAATGCCTTTTCATTTCATCTGTCATTCAAAACCTTAAATAATCTAATGCTCATTACCCTTAGATGAGGTGCGCACGGGGACTTACCGCCAGCTGTTCCACCCTGAGCAGCTGATCACTGGCAAGGAGGATGCTGCCAACAACTACGCCCGAGGACACTACACCATCGGCAAGGAGATCATTGACACAGTGATGGACAGAATCCGAAAGCTGGTCAGTACATTTAGAACAGAAGTCAATTTTTCTGAAGAGTATTAAATGGAAATGAATCAGTTTATTGCTAAGTAGGTTTTCACATACAAGGAGTATGCAATCATATTGTGGTGAATGGCAAAAATAAGTATTGCAAAAGCCAAGTGTCATAACTAATAATAAATATGTGAAGTATATGTTTTAAAATGTAGAGCTGTACAGTGTTTTAAACAAACACAAGACATAACAATCTCGTATCACTCTTTCAAAGTGAGCATATTTCCCCGATTCTGGCCCACTTGCATCGGCTTCCTCCGCCCTGCAGAATTCAGGGTGGAGTATTGCTGTGCTGTGCACTAATACGCTTTTTTATCATTAGCTGTGAACCCTTGGCACTGCTGTCTTTGTATTATATAAATACATTTATTATTATTTCATGATTTTATCTTTTTCTTTCAGTCCGACCAGTGCACCGGTCTTCAGGGTTTCCTGGTTTTCCACAGCTTCGGAGGGGGCACCGGCTCTGGTTTCACCTCTCTGCTGTTGGAGCGTCTGTCCATCGACTACGGCAAGAAGTCCAAACTGGAGTTCTCCGTCTACCCAGCTCCCCAGGTGTCCACCGCTGTGGTGGAGCCCTACAACACCATCCTGACCACCCACACCACCCTGGAGCACTCTGACTGTGCCTTCATGGTTGATAATGAGGCTATTTATGATATCTGCTGTAGAAACCTTGATATCGAGCATCCCTCTTACACAAACCTGAACAGGTTAATGAGTCAAATTGTGTCGTCCATCACTGCCTCCCTTCGTTTTGATGGTGCCCTCAATGTTGATCTGACAGAGTTCCAGACCAACTTGGTGCCCTATCCCCGTATCCACTTCCCTCTGGCCACCTATGCCCCTGTCATCTCTGCAGAGAAAGCTTACCATGAGCAGCTCTCGGTGGCAGAAATCACTAATTCCTGCTTCGAGCCAGCCAATCAGTTGGTGAAATGCGACCCACGCCACGGTAAATACATGGCCTGCTGCCTTTTGTATCGTGGTGATGTCGTTCCCAAAGATGTGAACGCTGCCATTGCCACCATCAAAACCAAGCGCTCCATCCAGTTTGTGGACTGGTGCCCCACTGGTTTCAAGGTGGGCATCAACTACCAGCCGCCAACTGTAGTTCCTGGTGGAGACCTGGCCAAGGTCCAGAGGGCTGTGTGCATGCTGAGCAACACCACTGCTATTGCAGAGGCCTGGGCTCGGCTTGACCACAAGTTTGATCTGATGTACGCTAAGCGTGCCTTTGTGCACTGGTATGTGGGTGAGGGTATGGAGGAGGGAGAGTTCTCTGAGGCCAGGGAGGACATGGCCGCTCTGGAGAAAGATTACGAGGAGGTTGGAGCTGATAGCCTGGGAGATGAGGAGGATGAGGAAGGAGAGGAGTATTAGAAAGGCAAACATTCCGCTTTATTGATCTCTGATCCATGCTGTTTTATTAATGTCAAGAAAATGAAGTTGTTCATTGACTGAACCTGAACCTATGCTTTCCTCTCGTCAATAAATACACTGTTAAACATGACTTATCTGCCTAGATGGGTTGTATGTGTTCACTTGCTCAGTTCAATCAAAAATGTTTTCACACAGAGATGCTATTGCTCAATTCAGTCACTTGGAGGCAGTGGTGTTAAACATGTAGGCTATATATCTTTCTCTGAACAGACCAGGCATGGCAATCTAGTTAAATGCTAGATTAATCACTAAATTATTTGCTACATGTGCTCTTTGGCACAAATCACACCTCATAGTCTTTGGCACTAATCACACCTCATACTTACCACACCCACACACCTACACACTGTACAACACGCACCTACAGCTCCTAAAGCATAATCAGGCTACAGCCGTTGTGTATTTTATTATGTGAAGCACTAAATGGTAGTGATGGCAGTTTGACACTGAAGCTTCGAACGGAGCTTCAACCCTGGACTTCCTATTCCATAGAAGCAGTGATTCGAAGCTTGCTTCAAATCACGTGATATATGACGTCCGAAGCACCAACTGCTTCATTTCCTGAATGAATCACTTGACTGGTTCGCGGTCCAATCACGCGATTCAATGCACTGCCTCGTCTCTATTCTGACAGGTGACAGGTTGAAACAGTTTCGAATTTGAGCGCTTCAACACTTATAACCGCTCTAAACAATGCGCAATGTGTGGGTTGTTGTCGTAGTTTGCGTTGTTGCTGTTGAGTTGTTGTTGGTATTGCATTTTAATTGGATCATTATAGAGCAAGCCAGGAAGAAAGATAGGTCGTTCTGGCTCGGGAAACACTTCGAAATGTGGAGAACTTGTGAACAAAAAGACACTTAAGACTAATATGAAAACCATGTTACTAACTTAAGGTATAGATAGCCCAGTGGATAGAGCCGGCGGCCCGAAGCGACGATGTCCTCCGCGCAGCTGGTTCAAAGCCCGGAACAGATTAACTTTTAATCATTCCTTTTCAACTTTAATACTTTATTAACTGATAAAAGGCCCTCTCCGCCCAAACAAAATTCCAGCACTCTAGTCTCTTCTCAATAACCCAATACGCACAATTATCAATCTTTAATTGCAAATAGAACATGATATTCAATCTTGTGTGTGTACATCGAATATTTTTCAAGGCAAAGATACGTTAAACCCGCTGCAGCCTTGCACTTCGCCAGGAGAGGTCGCTGTAACTGAAGCTTCGAGAAATGAACCTATTTCCGACACAATTGTCCAAGTGGTTCGATGCTTCATTCAAAGCTTCATTTTGCCATCACTACTAAATGGTCTTAGAAAAAAATCGACTCTTTGTTTGTAGATATCTACTAAACTACAGCATACAAATACAGAGAGTAATGTAGGCCTGTTATACTGAATGATATATATTGTACACACTGCTCTGCTTTCTGCACGGACCTCACAGCTGTTCTCACTGTAAACATCGCGTCGCGATGAAAGCAGTTACTAAAATAATATCCAGGGGATGCATGCAGAGCTGTCATTGGCTGAGAAGTCCGGCCGTGCGCGCCTCCACCGTTCCCGGAAATGCATCCGCGGAGGAGCCGTGGAGGACCCATCAGTAGAGGGCCGTGTCTCAATTCAGGGGCTGCACCCTTCGGAGTACGCAGCCTACGCGGTCCACGGAGGACCCAGCCCACGTAGACCGGGTAGGCTGGACCGAGCGGCCTACGAAATGAGACGGTCTAGCCCAGGGTTCGAGTTATGTGGGAGCCAATGGGAGCTGAGCTCCCATAAGGAGGGGTCTGAGCTCCCACGGACGCAGTGAAATCATACATCTGTGGGGGTCGCTAATACATTACCAACAACAACCATTATTTTAATCACAAATAATGCATGTGTCAATGTAATGAGTATTATTGAAAAGAAAAACATGTTTTCCAAAAGAACAACGCATCTCTTGAATAACAATATGCCTGCGCTGCACCTCCAAGGTGCGCAATACTTTATTGCACAATCTATGCCTGTGAGTGTGCAGCGCGAGCCGAGATGAAGTGTGTGTGCGTCGTTGAACCTTTTCATACAGGGCCGTGGTAAGTAGGGGTGCTGAGGGTGCTGAGGTGCTGCAGCACCCCCTGATGGAGGACAGGGAATCTGCACGTCCACAAGATTAAATGGAAATATAATACAAATATAATACAAAAAAAACGAATTTTCGGCATTGATGTTCACATTCATAATTAAGTAAAGATAACACCCTTTTCACCCCGGTTACATTTTCCATGTGCCCTGAGAGGCTCAGTGAGGTAAAGGACTCTGAGTGTTTAGATAGTTCACTTTAGTCTAAGTTATCTCAGTGTGTCTCAAACGGTTTGGTCAATTTATGTAAACAAATATTTCCAAGGCACACCTTTATAATTATTAGGATAAATAAAAACAGGTTTGAAATCATTCCAATGTATACTATAGGACAGTAAACCAACAATATCCTTTAAAACTGGAGAGATTAAAAATTATGGATGAATAAATAAATGTTAACTGGTAAAATAAGATATAATTGAACCAGCAAAAATCTTGCCTAGGGCAGCAAACGGGTCAGAACCGGCCCTGGTGTCATCCCCACAGCACCCCCCATTTGAAACATGTTCCCACGGCTATGTACAACAATACGCCCAAGCTGCCCCTCCTTAAAAGAAATGACAGCTAGTATCTACCTCATTGTTTAGAAAACTAGGTGTGTCTTGTTCTTGTTCGATCAGATGTTTCATGATTCAGCATGTCTCATTGGGCCGTATGAAACAACATGCTCTATTCCAATGCTCAGCTGCTCTGGTTGGATTTCCTACTAACGTAATAGACACTTTGGACATTTATTAATCCTAGTAGATTGTGAGTCATCAAGTTTATTTATAGAGCAGCTTTCAACACAAAGCAATTCAAAGTGCTGTACACAAATATAAGACAATAAGATCGAACAACACTAACATGTGTAGTCAAATTAGTCTGAAAATGATTGAGAAATGTTGCTTCATTTGGATGGAAAATGTGCGAGGCGAAAATGTACCTCACTCTTAGTTTATGATCAACTCACTATATAAAAAAATGAAAATTGGCATCAACAGCACGGAAACAAAACCGGTTGCAACCATGTTGTCAAAGTAGCAGCAAAAGAGCCGATGTGATGTACTGCCCGCTTGTTTGTTTGAGAGCTTGAACAGCAAGTGAAGAAATGCATGGATGACATGTTGATGTGTGGTTCTGTTGCCTCGATATGCATTGAATACAAACTGATGATTATTTGCGATGCATTTATGTGAAGCAGTATTTTATTGGTGTTGCTGGTTAAGATAAGTATGATGTAACTAATATGTAGCTTTATCAATAATGCCGTGCCACATTTTATAAGCTATTTGTTTTGAATGTAAAGTAGTGAAGTGGGAGTTTAAACTAACAGAGATTTCATAAGTAGAGCTACTTCCTTAGGCCCGGGCAGCCGGAAATATGTTTTGTGTGCACACTTTTGGGCCTTTGGGGACTCCGTAGAATCACCGCAGACAATTACATTTCAGGAAGTTACTTTGGAACTTGCATGTCAAGTTTCATGCTATTTTTTGCTAAATGAAAGTTAAAACGTTTCACTATCACTCATATCACTTTGTCTGATATCTATCTATATCTATCTATATCTATCTATATCTATATCTATCTATATCTATCTATATCTATATCTATCTATATCTATATCTATATCTATCTATATCTATATATATCTCTATATATAGATATCTCTATATATATATCTCTATATATCTCTCTCTCTCTCTCTCTCTCTCTCTCTCTCTCTCTCTCTCTCTCTCTCTCTCTTGCTCTTGGCACATGTATACTATAGGACAGTAAACCAACAATATCCTTTAAAACTGGAGAGATTAAAAAATATGGATGAATAAATAAATGTTAACTGATAAAATAAGATATAATTGAACCAGCAAAAATCTTGCCTAGGGCAGCAAACGGGTCAGAACCGGCCCTGGTGTCATCCCCACAGCACCCCCCATTTGAAACATGTTCCCACGGCTATGTTTTCATATTTAAGTTTGTAGCAAGTAGAGGGCTGCTGGCAGGCCCGGACTGGCCATCGGGAGGGCCGGGAGGTTTCCCGATGGCCTAGCGATTATCATTTTTTTAATGTAGGCTATTGTGAACGCAACGCTGCGCAAATGTGGGTTTGCCTCACACAGGGTGACTGTCTGTCTACATGATGTGGCATCTGTTTCAGATGGGTGTGCACCAGATTGATGCATTTAACTCCAAAATTAAAAAAATATCTTACCAGGGGGGGCATGCCCCCGGACCCCCCTAGAGGATTTGAGGTCCACCCCCAAAATATGTTCACATGGATAGGTTCCCAAATACATTTGCAATTTTTTTTTAAATAGTAACCCCTGTTCATATGTTTATTATTGGTGTGTGTGTGTGTGTGTGTGTGTGTGTGTGTGTGTGTGTGTGTGTGTGTGTGTGTGTGTGTGTGTGTGTGTGTGTGTGTGTGTGTGTGTGTGTGTGTGTGTGTGTGTGTGTGTGTGTGTGTGTGATTGAGTTTGAGTGTGTGTGTGTGTGTGTGTGTGTGTGTGTGATTGAGTTTGAGTGTGTGTGTGATTGAGTTTGAGTGTGTGTTAGTTTCAAAGACCCCCATAGAGCTCAGTTTATAACTCGAACCCTGCTGATATATAATCATCAAATACACGGAGCCTGTCTCTTTTTCCTCTCTTCTGACAGCGTCAGTGTCTGTCTC